CAAGTCCTGTGCCGGGTGCTGAAAATGCAACGATCCTATTGATTCCATAGGTTCCTCCTTTTGGTAAAATTAGAGAGTCAAGGCCAAAGCATAAGAGTGGTATCCTCAGCCTTGTATTGATGGTTCAAATGCCAACTGGCCCAGACATTACTTGCTTCAGGGAAGCACAGGAGGAAGGCTGAGTGTATGCCAAGGAGGTCAATGCTAAGGGAGGTGGGTGGGAGGGGGTGTCCTGAGCCAGAGAAGACAGCTGGGCTCAGGCACAGAGCCGTGCTCAGTGACAGAGGTCAAAGCAGTCCACTGGGAGATGCCAGATTAGCCTGGGGACATTCCATAAAGCTCTGAACACAAGGCTAAAGTAGGCAATAGAGAGCCTTTAATGGATTTTGGACAATAGATTGATATGCTAGTAATTGTTCTTTAAAGTATTTACTTTGTAGCTATTTGTCTATGGAATTATCCATTCTACAACCTGTTAATCCAGAGGGCAGAGATTGTGTCTGGTACACTGTTGTCACGGGGCTCCGGGCTGCTACTAGCCACATCAACTTCACTGTGCAAATAGAAAAAGGCAGCCCCTCTGGGTAAACCTAGCCCTGCAAGGCCGAGGCTTGGTGAGCCGACCACACGTGTGTGAGGAAGACCCTGCAGGAAGAGGTAGCCTGCACAAGCGTCCACAGCTTGGTGGGCAGCACAGGCTAGGTTTCAGCCACGCTCGCCGCTCACTCAGGCATCCTGTGGAGTACACAACCTGCGTGACCTTAGGGGGAGGCCCTGGGGGAACACGGGCAGGGGGCTGTTTCAGAGGTGATCAGACTATGCACTGAACTAGGGTAATGACCGTGGGATCAGAAAGGAGGGGAAAGGTCTAAGAGACACAATCTCTTGCACTTTAACTGGAATGACTGCCACAAAGGATCCTGGGTACTGTCTGTCTACTGCAAGCATGGGTCTCTCTCTAACAAATCTGCCCCATTCAGTTCGTCAGTGATGCTTCTGCTAGAAAATTCTATGTTCAAAGTCTTGTCTCTAAAGCATTGGCTTCTCCACAGATTGGCCCCAGTTTCTTCCATTTGCCAGCCGATGTGTGGGAGCCTGAGAACTAATGGTACTTATAAATAACTGTCCTCATGCTGTCTTAGAAAGAAGCTGTGAGGGGTGCTGATTTTCTTTGATAGTGGAAAGTAAATAGTGTGTGGGCTGGGGGGAGACCTTAATTCTCTCATAGGCTTCTGAGATACCCGAAGACCACTTAGCAAGGTGAGGTTCATCTTAACTCTGAACTACTCAACATCTACTGTCCCAGAAGCACTGGTTGCCCCATCTCTGGTTGCTCCATCTCTGTCTCTTTTATTAGCTCTTCCTTCTCCACTGAACATCTCTTTGCTGGCTTCCTCCTGGAGTGGTCCTGAGTTTCATTCTCCCTTGCCTGCATAACCCACTCCCATGACCAGGTGCCTCGGCTGCTGTGACCCCTCAGTCTACACCTCTCTTCCTAACATCAGACCTGTAGCATCTTGACCACTTGGCATTTCCATTTAGATATCTTAAATATTTCTCAAAATCAACATATCTAAAACCTAACTGATTAATTTTTTACTTTTATCATAAAAGTAATATATTCTCATGGTGACACATAAAACCACTTAGACATAGAAAGAAAATTTTAAAACTCTACACCACCACATATATTTAGGTTTCGTTTTTGTTGTTTTGTTTTACAAAAATGAGGTAATACTATATATACTTTCTCTACATCTCATACCCTAAAAATATAGTGTGGAAATTCCCACCCCTTCACCCTGCCATGGCTACAGCTATAGGGTGAGTTCATTCTTTAAATAGCTCTACAATAGTCTGCAGTACGAGCGTGCCACAACCTACTCCACTTCTGATGGGCATTCTCTGCAAGGGTTCCGCCTGGAAATAGATAATGATGCTATTCATCTATATTTTTCAACCATCTAGAATAGGTTAAATAATGTAAGAATTATCTTTTCTTTACAGATTGGGTACATCTCAACTGCTAAAGCACTTGGGCCTGGTCCTTTTAAAAATCAAAAATCTCTTAACTATTTTTGAACATCTTTAAAGCTGTTATGTTTAAATTTTCTATCTCTTCTAGGGTTCGTGTTGGCAGTTTATATTTGACTCAAAAATCATCCATCTCTACATTTTCAAATTTATTGTCATAGACTTTTACACAATGTTCCTTTATAATTCTCTTTCCTACAAAACTCTTGATCTTTCCCCTAAATCTGGTTTTCCTCCAGTTTTATGAAGATCAGGAAAAGGAACCACCATCATCCCCGTTAAAGTCATCTTTGGCCCCTTCTCATCCCTCACCTCCCATGTTCCATTTTCCATTCAAGCCGGTCTGCCTCTAAACTAGCTCTTGGGTCTATCTATCCATCCTCTTGACCACCACTGCCATTGCTTCTCGACATCTGTTTCATATCTTTTCTGGACTATTGCAGTATCTTCTAACTTCTCCCTCTAATGCCTCACTTGCCCGTCTCTGCACCATTTCTATACTGGGATCAGAGCGGCCTTAAAATTTACATTGGATCATGTCACTGTCCTGTTGAAAACCTCTTAAATGGAATTGCATCATTTGTTTTTATTTTTATTTTTTTTTGAGACAGAGTCTTGCTTTGTTGTCCAGGCTAGAGTGAGTGCTGTGGCATCAGCCTAGCTCACAGCAACCTCAAACTCCTGGGCTCCAGCGATCCTTCTGCCTCAGCCTCCCGAGTAGCTGGGACTACAGGCATGTGCCACCATGCCTGGCTAATTTTTTATATATATATCAGTTGGCCAATTAATTTCTTTCTATTTATAGTAGAGACGGGTCTCGCTCTTGCTCAGGCTGGTTTTGAACTCCTGACCTTGAGCAATCCGCCTGCCTCGGCCTCCCAGAGAGCTAGGATTACAGGCGTGAGCCACCGCGCCCGGCCGGAATTGCATCATTTCAAAGTCCTCTTTTTAAGCCTCCATGGTCCTGCATGTCTTAATTCCTGCCTGCCTTTCAACTGCTGTCTCCCATTACTATCTTCCTTCTACCCATGAAGTTTTAGCCCCAATGGCTGTTTTTTTTTCCTTTCTCCAAACCACCAAACTAGAATGGAGGGTTTATTTAATAAATGGTGCTATAAAAATTGGCTCTCCATCTTGAAGAAATTCTATTTAAAATCTCTGCCTCAATCATATTTTTAATATAAACTAAATTTAAACCTTTTTCACCTTGAAATAAATTGTAAGAGAATATATGTATAATCTAGGGATAGGGAAGAACTTTTCAATCAAGAAATCCAGAAGCTATACAAGAAATAATAGATATATCTGACAATATAAACATTAAAATTAATTATGTGAATGGAAGATACCATAAAACATAAAAAGATAAATAATAGTTTGGGATACAATATTTGCAAGGTAAATAAAAAGGGTCACTATATCTGTCAACAAAGTACTCTTATAATGAAAATGTAAAAATGAATATCCCAATAGAAAATATAGGCAAAAGATAATAAAAAAGGAGAAATTTTCTCTCTCTCATACACACATACAGGCATGTATACATACACAAACACACACCTCAAAATAACCAATAAAATAGGAAAAATATTCACTGTGTTTTCCCTTGTAATGTGGGAAATACAAATTAAAGTAACAAATTAAAAAAGTAATATCACTTCTCACCTCTCTGATGGGCAAATATTAAAAAGAGTGGAAAATCCTGCTATTAGCAAGAATGTAGGGGAAATGGTACTCCCCAAACATTGCTGGTATAAATGCGAATCATTGTCACCTTTTTGGAAAATAATCTGGCAATATCTATCAAAATTTAAAATATAACAGCATATATTCTCATGGTAGTTATCTTAAGAAAAGGAAATTTTAAATTTTTTAAATTTATATTTTTTAAATACTTTTAAATACTTTCCTGTATAACAAAGCCATGTTCTATAAATATACATCATTTATATAATCAGAAAACCTTTCCCATCACCTACTTTTTGGAAGCTAATATTTCACATAAGGCTTTATTTTGGCACATGTGATGTTCCCTGCTGGAGCAGGGTTCCCCTCATTCCTTGCCTGGATAACTCTTCCCTAGCCTGAGACCTCAGCCGACACGTCATCCCTCAGAATCCCTTGGGGATGGAGCAGAACTTGTCCTCTCTGTCACATCCAATCCTATCACACTGTCTTCTGCTTTCAGAGCACTTGACACAGTCTGAAATGATCTGCGTGGCTATAAGGCCAAGCTCTGTCCCCACCTCTTGAGTGGTGGTCATGGAGGTCAGGGACTGGGTCTGTGTGACTCACCAGTGAATTCCCAGTGCCTGGCCCAGTGCTGAGGACAAAGAGGTCTTAACAAAACCTTGGTAATTACTTGGATCATTTCCCTGTGTTTAATAACTTTCCACACATTCTTATCTTGTGCTTCAATCAGATATATGCTCTCCGGTCTCTAGGGCTGTGTCTTATACCTTTCAGTATTCCCTTGAGTGCTTCACAAACCTCTGGCTCATTAGACATTTTGGTAACCCTTGGTTTCTCTAGTTTCCATTAGCTTTTCCCCTTGTCTCATGTCCCTCTACTGCCATCACCTGCTCCTGCTACATTAGGAGAAAGCTAAACTGGGACAAAGGTCCTAGCACCCCCCACCCCCAGGTTCAGTTCTTTTGACTACGCTTTAGCTGTCGCAACTATACTGAGATGGTCATTAGTTCCCAAGGAAACGACAGCTCCTTTTTCTGGTGCTCCATGCCTTCTTCCCTCAGTCGTGAAGTTTACTGTCCCACCTTACTATGGACTGACTTATGTCCCCCAAATTCATATGTTGAAGTTCTTACCTGCAGCACCTCAGAATGGGACTATATTTGGTGATCGAGCCTTTGAAGAGGTAATAAAGGTTAAATGAGGTCATAAGAGGAGAGCCTTAATCCAATAGGACTAGTGTCCTTATAAGAAGAGGAAGACACCAGACACAAGTGTGTGCAGAGGAAAGACCACACAGCGAGAGGCCACCATGTGCAAGTCAAGAAGGGAGGTCTCAGCAGACACCAGCCCTCATACCTTGCTCATCGACTTCTAGCCTATAGAACTGTGAGAAAATAAACTTCTGTTGTCTAAGCCATCGTTGTGGCAACCCAAGCAGACTAACACACCTCTGTTGAAGAACTCACTTGGGTTTCCCAGAGCTAGACAAAGACATCTTAGTGGCACTGCCCTCTGTCACACTCCCTGCCACCAGCCAATCCATCGCCCCAGGCAAGGACAACAAGCATTAAGCTGGCGCTTTCTGAAGGGTAAGCTTCTTGCTTTTTTGGGACATGTTTCTCTTACTCCTCCCACCTCCACTAGAAGGTGGGGACAGCTTTATTTTTCCTCTTTACTCAGGAGTTTCGATCCCAGGATTATAGGAAGCTGTTGCCTCCACCACCCTGATTCCCCCTCCATTGTGTTTTTTCAGGAGGCCCAGCAAGGACTCTCCAGATAAGTCACCTGATGATCAGTCCTGATAACATGGAGTTCCTGGTTCACGCATCCAAATCAGGGATCCACTAAAGTAAAAGCTCTCCTCTGAGCTTTTCCTCAGGACTTTGGGAAACGAACACAGCCCGCAAAGCCTACCTTGGGGATCATGTCCCATCCTTCCCCTGAGAAAGATAAAACCTCTCAAAGTCAATGTTGGACGCCTCATCACCAAAAGGAACACTCAGACCCCACTTCTTGGTTTCACTACTCAGAAACCACAATATTTGTTCTTGAAACATGATTGAGGAAACCAAATGCCAAGGAAAACATGGCTTCTTAACATGGGTTTATGGGAATTTATAATCTACAATCAATGCTGAGAAAATAAAACCTAGCCTTTTGGGCAGGACCCCCTTCAATAAAAGTGATCAAGTTCAGCCTATTCAGACACTAAAACTACAATGATAGGAAAGAATAGAAAAGAAATGAATGATGTTTGATATCTAAACATCAGTCTTTATTATTAAGCATATCATAAAAATAACCGGTCAAACACAGTGCCAAATCACTGGTACCAATTGAAATAGCAGTTTTACATTTGGCTTTAGCTCCTAAACTTATCATAAAAGCATTTCAATTTTTCTTGCTGCCAAGTCTCTGCCTCAGTGCCTAAGGCTCTCTGGGGTCATGGGAAAATGGAGTAAAGACAGAGACAAGCCTGATTTGCAGACTGCAGGACCCTTTTACTGTCTTCATGTTGCACTCTATTATCAGAAGGGGCAACATGACATTTCCAGCCCTATTTTAAGAAAGGCTGTTAACAAAGGCTATATAGGTTAAGTTTCCTTCTTTCAATAATGCAATGCCTATCACAGCTAGCTCCCAATTCATTCTCCCCTATCACCATGACAACCCTCATCAGTCATAAGCAGCCGGGACACTACCAACCAGAAGCAAAGAATAAGCCTTTACCCCCAACTTATATCACTTTATTTCAAATAATGACCTTGTTTCTTGGTGAATTCTTACCATATGACAACATTGAGTAGCCAGTCGCTAGCACTGGAGGATTTGAGAACTCCTGGGCTCGGCCGGGAGCAGTGGCTCACGCCTGTAATCCTAGCACTCTGGAAGGCCGAGGCGGGTGGATTGCTCGAGGTAAGGAGTTTGAAACCAGCCTGAGCAAGAGCAAGACCCCGTCTCTACTGTAAATAGAAAGAAATTAATTGGCCAACTAATATATATAGAAAAAATGGCGCATACCTGTAGTCCCAGCTACTTGGGAGGCTGAGGCAGTAGGATCGCTTGAGCCCAGGAGTTTGAGGTTGCTGTGAGCTAGGCTGACGCCATGACACTCACTCTAGCCTGGACAACAAAGTGAGGCTCTGTCTCAAAAAAAAAAAAAAAAGAACTCCTGGGTTCTTGACACCAAGGACTGCTTAGATTCCAGTTTCCTTTTTAATATCCAGCTAAGAGCAAGATTATGTACAACCTCAGCTTCCCCGCTCAGTCTAACTAGGCCTAAATCATTAAACGGGACTAAATGCTCTAAGATAAAAAGCAATATTGGCACAAGACTGCAAATTAGTCATTCTAAGGCCATATCAGAAAGGGACTGAAGGAAATGGCAGACAGGTCAACCACATCTGCAACTCTTTGTGCCTTAGTTTGGGTACACAGTACAGCTCACCATAACTCCATTTACTCGACCACTTCTAGAAATTTACTCAACCAAAATACCTTTTACAAATATTTCAGGTTAATTGAGATGATCCAGTTACAGATATACCAAGCTGTGGTTGAAATTACTAGAGAATTATAATAGCTTTTCTCCCCAAGCTGGAGACACAGTAATTATTCTTTATATAGTTTGTAAACCTGAATTGGGTAAGAGCCAACTTACTCCAAGAAAGAATCCTAGGTCAGGTAGAGAGGAGATTACATAAGTGACACGTTTGTCTACTATTTGGAGGTTTACCAATAACTTGGTTTTATTCTCTTAATAAGTGTATTTTGCATATTCTCCTTTAAAGCCTGTCTCTCAGGATAGTTGTGTGCATTTAAGTTAAGCTGTAGAACATTGATAACACTTTTCTTTACATTAAACTACCACCCCGAAGAGTTGCAAACTCATGAAACAAAAGAGGCCCCTTTTATTGTTGTGAAAGACAAACACAAACTATCACAGGGTGATAGTAAGTACAACAGTGATAATAAGTACAAATAAAATCAATGTTGCCTGGCATATTAACTAAAACTCCACTGAAGAAGAAACTTTTAGATTGAGTCTTGAAAAGTGGATAGAATTCACGAGGCAATTTAGGAAGGGAAAGGTGCTCCAGGAAGAGAAAATAGGTTCAAAAGCATAGAGCAAGTGATATCAGTAAGAATGATAAAGACCTCCAAAAATTCTCTGATCCATAAAAGTAATGAGAAAATTGGCAATAAAAACGATCAGACTCAACTCTCCCAGAAGTCAGGATATTAACCAAAGACTTGCAAAATCTGGGATGTATTTACTCAAGAAAAACAGTTGAATATTGGTAGTAAGAATGAGCTTTGTGGTGTTTATACTTGTCCCATATTTCACTCTCCAGTTCCACAGTAGCCTTGAAAATTAACAGCCCATACTCATGATGAAAACTAGCATCTTTGTCAGTCACCAGAGGAAAAATAACAGGGCTGGAGTTCCTTTGAAGCCTCACTCTCAGAGAATTACCATTATTTGACCTGGCTAGGGGTTCCCTGGGAGATCTCATTTGCTGTCTATATTTCATTACTTCTCCAGTGCAAACAGCTGACTCATTGTTCCTCCAGTGCAAACAGCCTTTCCCCTGAGGGCATTCATATAAACAGTTACAGACAATTGTTTACTTTCATGGCTACCAGGAGATGTGGATAATAGTTAGAGAAAACTATACACTAACCAAAGGAAGAGCTAGATGTCCATAGGGGCTTCATAAAACTCCTATGTATTTCAGGGCATATAGAAGACTATGCCTACATGTAGGGTTGTGCACATGCCCAGAGCTGTTCACATGCTCAGAAACAACCCAAGAAGGCCCTAAGCTCTCATCTCTGCTGATTGAGATTCTGCACAAGCAGACAGTGAAGACTGAGGCAGAATCGTCAATTGTCTGGCGGTTTGTTGAAGGCATGCCCCAAACATAACAGTCCTTGGCAAAGGCTGAAAAACTTATTGGTTCTTGATGGTTAAGAAAATCTCTGTCCAATCATGAGCTGACCACTAAGGTAAATGATCAAAGACTTCAGTGACCACACACAACAAAGAACACATATTTTACGTAATTAGTTCAGAAAAGTCACTAAGCAAACTACAACAATCATAACAAATAGCAACAACAATAACTACATGGGAGAGAGGAATCTGATTTCCTGAGTTGCCATGTTATATTATTTTAAATGTCCAGTTTTCAACAAAAAAATTATGAAACATAAAAGCAAAACAAGAAAGGATGACCCATATACAAGGGAAAAAAATCAATAGAAATTTTCCCTGACTAAGCCAAGACATTCAATTTATTAGACCAAACTTTAAATCAGCTGTCTTAAATATGTTCAAAGAACTAAAGGAAACCATGTCTAAACAACAAAAGGGAAAATATGGGAACAATGTCTCACCAAATAGAGATTATCAATAAAGAGATAAAATTTATGAAGAAGAACAAATAGAAATTCTGGAGTTAAAATGTATAATAACTACAATAAAAAATTCACTAAGAAAATGAACATCATATCTGAGCAGGAAGAAGAAAGAATCACCAAACTTTATAATAGGTCAACTGAAATTATCCAGTCTGATGAATGGAAATAAAGAAAGGATAAATAATTAATAGAGCTTCTGAGACCTGTGGGACACAACCAAGCTTACCAAAAAATGGATGATGAGAGTCCCAGAAGGAGAAGAGAGAGAAAAAAAGGGACAAAAGAATATTTGAAGAATTCCTAAATTTGATGAAAAACATTATTTACATATTCAAGAAGTTTAGTGAACTCCAAGTAGGAGTTTGAAGAAACTCACATGTAGACACATCATAATCAAACTGTTAAAAATGCAAAGAGACAATCTTGAAAGCCTTAAGAGAGGTGACTCATCAGATACAAGGGATTCTCAATAAGGTTATCAGATGATTTCTCATCAGAAGCAATGGAGGCAAGAGGCATGAGGATGACATACACAAAATGCTGAAAAACAAAACAACCTGTTGACTAAGAATTCTTCTATACTAAGCAATACTATCTTTCAAAAAATGAAGAAATTAAAACATTCACACGTAATCAGACATCAAGAGAATTTACCACTAGGGCTCTCTTAGAAATACTAAAAGGTGTTCATTAAGTTAACATCAAAGAACACTAGACAGTAGCTCAAATCCACATTTAAAAAAAGAAAGCATCAGTACAGGTAACTATATGGGTAAATATAAAACAGAATATAAATGTATATTTTGTTTTTATTGTTTTTCCTCTTATTTGATTTAGAAAATAGCTGTATAGAGCAATTATTATAAATCTATGCTGATGGGTACATAAAATATAACAATGTAATTTGTACAATAATACCAGCATAAATGTGGGGTTAAACAATATTTCTATATAGGAGCAAAGTTTGTGTATCCTATTCAAGTTAAGTTGATATCAATCTGAATTAGATTGTTATGAGTTACGATGTTAACTATAATCCTCAGGTCAACAAAATAAGTAAAAAAATATATAGTAAAGGAAATGACAAGGACATTTAAATGTTGTAATAGGAAATATCTATTTAACACTAAAAAAGTCAGTTAATGGAAGAACAGAGAGACAAAAAAAGAAATAAGACTGTAACCAAATAGCAAAATGGCAAATATAAATCCTACCTTAGTAATTACATTAAATTCAAATGGATTAAGCACTCCAATTAAGAAGCAGAGGTTAACAGAATAGATTTTTAAAACCACGAACCAACTCCATGCTGTTTACAAGAGACACACACCTTAGGATCAAACAAATAGGTTGAAAATAATAGGGTGGAAAAAGAAATAGTAACCAAAAGGGAGCTAAAATGGATATACTAGTACCATGCAAAATATACTTTAAGATAAAATTTGTTATTGTAGACAAATAGACAAAGATGGATATTTTAAAATGATAAAAGTGTCAATTCATCAAGAAGTTATAACAATTATAAACATATATACATATATAATA